CCTAAAATCAAGTAAATTAAATATTGCGAGGATTTTTAGCTCTCAGTGCCATGCCAATTGTATGGCTGTCCCAGTAACTGAATTACATGCGCTGCTGCTGTCTGTTGGCAAAACAGCACATTTTATCAGCTGGGCTTATAATTAGATTGTGGTGCAGTGAACATGTTAGAAAGGAAAGGACGTATTTTGTCACTTTAAAGGCTTTTTCCTCTTAACACTAGCAGTCTTGAATGTTGTTTGCAAGAGCAGTTGTGTCTGCGTGGACTCCAGATTATTAGCGAGACCATGTGGATGAGGGGAATCTTTTTATTGGGGCAATGTCTGTTGGTGAGAGAGACAAGCTGTGGAGCTTACGGAGTTCTCCGGCCGGTTTGGGAAGGATACTCGGATGCTCTTGCAGACATGCTCGCTTGGAGATACAGACACCCTCTCAGATGTCTTTTTCTTGGTCTTCCCACAGACTGGGTGTCCATAGGGAGAACTCATTAGCCAGGCTGAGTCTGTTCTGAGTGGGCATGCCATGGTAACATACAAATAAGCATAGAGCAATTAAATACTTAATTCAACTCTTCCACATTGTTCTGTTTGTGGTATTTCAGTCATCCCGGGACTCCCAGACAGAAAACTAGTGTATTGCTAATCCTGTTGCCAAAGACCCTGCTTAGCACTGGGGTGTGTAGTCCACAGCACACAGTGTCTGGTATCATTCACTTCGCCTTCGACAGGCCGCTGTTAATGGCGTATGGTAGAACCTCAGCATTACGTACCAGCCAGTCAACCACATACACAGGCAGCAACAGAGAGCAGAAAAACAGTGAAAACACACAGGCTACGTCTACACTGGCCCCTTTTCCGGAAGGGGCATGTTAATTTCAGAGATCGCAATAGGGAAATCCGCGGGGGATTTAAATATCCCCCGCGGCATTTAAATAAAAATGTCCGCCGCTTTTTTCCGGCTTTTAGAAAAGCCGGAAAAGAGCGTCTACACTGGCCCCAATCCTCCGGAAAAAGCACCCTTTTCCGGAGGATCTTATTCCCGGGGGGGACTGGAGTGCCAGCACGGGCTCCCCAAAAATAGAGGGGAGCCCTGAGCCTTGGGGGCTGGATCCAGGCCAGCCTGGGGTCACATCTGGACCCCTGGCCTTAGGTTTCCCCTCCCTCCCACAAGCGTAAGGATTGTAGTTCATGGCAGGAGCATATTTCTGGTGGTCCCCATCCCACGCCAGTTTGTGGCGAGGCTCACTTAGTTTCCCTGCAGTCTCTTCACAGTGGCACTTACAGCATTCAGCCTAGCGCACTGCCTAGAAACCATGTGACCCTCTTCAGGCACGGCAAGATGGCTTCCGCTTGGACTCGACATTGAAGGGGAGAGGAAATAGCTGAGGTGGTTGGAGCGATTGCTGCTCTATGGGGTTAGGCTGCTCACCAGAGTTGGTTTGGAGCCCTCGGGGTGTCCAGAACATGCAGTGCTGGGCAGGTTTACGTGTGTGGTGGAGCACACCCGCTCCCTGTCGGCACGAGCAGCAGAGCACTGATACAGCAGCGCCATGGCGCTGGAATGCAGCTGTAGGGGCCTCCACGCCCCATTCATCTGTGAAGAGGGAGAGTGAAGAGAAGGGAAAACCTGTCAGAATGTGTCTTCAGGGCCCGGACTGAGCACCAGGCAGGAGTCTCCTCTGTGGCGTCCTACTACACACGTTAGGAACATTATTTAGGCCTTTCTCCCTGGCATCCGGCAAGAGCCCTTGACCAGCCAAGCTGGTAAAATATGTGGCCGTGTTCATGTGTGGCATGGAGCAGCCTCCACCCTTCAGTGAGCTGATGAGCATCCTCAACCCTCTCCCCCCACCGAGGGGATTCCAGGGCCTTCATATGCTCTGCTCTCTGCATTCACTGCTTCCTCAGTGTACCTCTGGGAGATTCATGATGTGGCTCCTAAATCTTTCTACTCACAATTACAATAACCAGCCTCTCCTTAACCCAGCTGAACCCTCACGCAGGAAATTTGGGGCCCAGGGTAGATGAATCTCTGTGTGGGAGCAGGGTTTGGAAGAAGCAGGGAAGTGAGACCCCCCCCTAAGCTCTACAAATCCAGATCTTGGTGGTCCACTGAGACGGGAGACCATCCATGCAGAGCCCCTGTGCCCCTCTGCCCTCTCTGCCCTCCCAGCAGCATGGCTGTGATGGAGCTGTGCCCACATGGCCTTTGAACCCTGGCTTAAGATGGCACGAAGTTTCCCACCCATACCCATCATGCACCTCACCTGCCATGGATCCATATCTCCACGGAGGACTCCGAGGTCCCATTCCCTGCCTGTGGAGAGCTAGAGGCACATGTGAGGAAGGACTGGGGAGCTTCCAGGCGTAAATCTCAGGGGGAAAGCCAGACGCCTCACGCTCCATTGGGTTTCATCTCTGTTGGTGTCTGTCCAGTGACATCAGTAAGTCCCAGATCTGGCCCTATGTGAGCTTTGCCCATTTTTCATGACTCGCGGGGGTTTTCACTGCCTTCTGAAAGGGCTGAGAACCGACGTGACTGGTTAGCAGCCGCTCCCCCTCACCTCACAGACACTCGGACTAAAGCCTGACAGAGACTCACAGACCCCCGGAGGTCCAAGGAGATGACGCCAGGCCCAGAACGAGCTGACAGCTGCCTGATGAACGCCTGCGTGAAGCATTCCCTGCACTCCAGGAATCATGCGGCTAGAAATAGACGCGGTCAGGCTGGCATCGGACACACCCCGCCTGAATAGCGTGATATAGGCTTTTACCACACGGCAGTTGTTCCCAGAGCCCCCTGAGCACGTGCAGCCTGATCCCAACAAACCCAGACCCACAGAGCTCAACTGGACCCAGGGGGCCCAGCTGGTTTTCTGCCTGAATGATGTAATAATAACCTTTTGTGGGGTCCAGCAAAGACACGGGAGCAGCATCCCCAAAGGAGCTCTGTGGGGCGGGGGGGTTAAGTGGGGCTGGCGAGCTGGCACCCATTTCAGAGGGGAGAGTAGCGTCCTGAGGTCTGGGTAGTTCAGAGAAGCAGCCAAGTGCTTAGAACTCGTCCGCAAAGTTCAGGGCTACAGTTCAGAGGGCCTTTCATAATGAAGGGAGCGCTCTGTGTCTGGGTTTCCTTTTACCTGACTGCCCATAGCATACTTTGGTTAGTCTGAGGATGGGGCCGGAGAGAGTCCCTTGGGCACTCACGGTTGTGGGGGAGGTACCTGTGCACATACAAATGTGGGCTTTGCATACATAAATGTTTGGGCGTGTATGTCTGGGCAGCTTGTGGGCATGCAAGCCCAGGGGCGCGTTTTTGCCACTGCAGCTATTAGTATTTCGTTTGATGGTCTGTGTCCCTTCAAACATGCTGGGAGCACCCTCGTACCGGGGCAGGACTCCTGGATTCCATTGTCTGTGCAGCCTCAGGTGTGTCCCTCCATGCCTCAGTTTCCCCAGCTGTACGATGATGAGGATGCTCACTAGTAAAGCACTCTGATGAATGAAAAGTGCTCTGAGCACGAAGAATGATGGATGTTCTTAATTTAGAATGATCAGATTATTGATTAGATTATAGATTAGAATAATGATTAGATTATTAACGTCATCCCTCTCCTCTGAAATGCGCTCTTCCTTGTCATTTAAAAAATCTGCCAAGGGCATCCTTCAGGGCTCTGTTTATAACATTCTATTTATCGTACATGTTTTTTGCATGTGCTGGGTGTGTTTGTTGACTTTTCCATCAGATTTTGCTCCTGCTTGGAGATGTAACTGGGCATTTGGACTAATGGCGGTAGATTACATGTTCAGTGTGTTTTTGCTAAGGTCCCAACTAGGCCCTTTCAGGCACGAGGTGCTTAGAAGTGACTGTGGATGGGCCACATTTTCTAGACCATGCAGGTTGAGCCAAATGTTCACATCATTCCACGCTGGCAGTTGCTGCAGCTGCACTTACAAATCAGGTAATTGTACACACCTTACCTGGCCACTGGTGAACACATTTTCCTGATGGGTGCACATTCTGGGTACTGTGCAGCCCTGCGAGGCATTCAGCTGCCTTCTTAGGCTTTTCAAATCTATCTCTGTTGCTTGTTATTAAATAAAGGGTGGGCAAGTCCCAAATGCACATCTATGGATGGATTCGTTGCAATGGGTCATAATTCCAATCTGCGTCAGAAGCGATTCAGATCCATAGCATATCACAGATTCGTACTACAGAATGGGGCAGATTCTGGCAAATACAGGGCAGTGTGGAGCGAGTGACCGTCTCGCTTCAGATAGGCACACGTATTCCTACCACAAGCAGTAGGAAAATGTGCACCTCTTCTGCCAGAGACCAACCCTTTATGCAAGATTTTGCGGAAATACTTTTAACAGAAAAGTTTTTCCGTTAAAAGCATTTCCGCAAAAGTGCATTTAGATTGGCACGGATGCTTTTGCGCAAAAAGTGCTTTTGCACAAAAGCATCCGTGGCCAGTCTAGATATGATTTTGCACAAGAAAGCCCCGATTGCCATTTTAGCCATCAGGGCTTTTTTGCGCAAAACAGTTCTTCCCTGTCTACACTGGCAAGTATTCTGCGCAAGAGGGCTTTTTCCCGAGCGGGAACGTGAAAGTATTTGTGCAAGAAGCACTGATTTTATACATTACAAAGTCAGTGCTCTTGCGCAAATTCAAGCAGCCAGTGTAGACAGCTGGCAAGTTTTGGCGCAAAAGTAGCCGCTTTTGCGGAAAATCTTGCCAGTCTAGACGCACCGTGTGTGGGGGGGGGGAAGGGGGGTGACATAGAGAGAACAGCTCAAATATGCAAAGGGCCTGACCAGGGCCAGGACATTAGCCCTGCAGGGCAGGGATGGGTGTGGCAGTGACATCACAAGGGCTGTTTACAGCCCCTCAGCGTATTGGTTAAAGGAGGTTGCGAGGTGGTGATCTCACAGAGAGTCCATGACAACGGGCAGGTGGGACAGGCTGCAGGGCAGGGACACTCTCAGAGACCCCCATGGCTTTCCTGCAGGTTGTCTCCTTGCGGTCTCCCCGTGAGGACTGAGAGAGAATTCAGGGTCACGAGAAGGAGCCTCTTGGGAATTTTCTTCTTTCACAATATTAATTTTGCTAGAAGACGGACGTCCCCGTGGAGAAGGGAAGAGTCTGCGAGAGGTTTGGTTCCAATGCAGCCTGATCCACCGGTGCTGGCCAAATTGAAGGCAAAACACCAGGCAAAGGTAGGAGAATATTTTTGCCACCTAGGACTTGGTCCCTTACAGTTAGTGGGGACATTGGGATTTGACTTCTTGGCTTCCCTCCCTTGGCTGACCAGGGTGGGAGCTGCTCTCTAGCCCTCATGGTGGGAATCTCTCACAAAGCGATGGGACAGGAAGTCCTCTGAGAATGACCCCACTGGTGACCTGAGCCATCCCTGGGCCCCTTGGGGGAACCCTCAGACTCCCACCTCTCAGGATCTCAGGGCTGATTGGCTGAGCTGGAGGCTTAACCTCTTCCCTTTCTATCCCATCCGGTTACCAGACAGCTCAGGAAGTGCAACAGACTATGGGGCTCCTTCTCCTGGGGCAACAGAGAGCTTCTGTCCCCGAGAGCCCTCCTTGCCTCTGACTTTCAGCAGGGCCAGATGCTTGGTGGACCATCAGTTGCCTTACAATGGCTCTTGGCTTTTACACCAGATCCCATCTGTAGCCTGGGCCCAGAATCCCCTTGAAGGGACCAGCCCCTCCCCCCCTGCATAACCCCTCTGCACTGCCATTCATTCATCTGCATGGATTATGGGAGCTCTTTAGCTGGGATTCGCATTTGGTGCCCATCTCCATGGTGCCCGAGGGCCAGGTATCTAAGGCTATGTCTGGCAGAAGAGGAAATGCAAACGAAGCACTCATTGGCAAATCTACGTTCTCATTTGCATATTCTCCTCCGATCCTTTTGGCAGAAGAGGTTTTTGCGGAAAAAACCCGCAGTGTGGACGGGGCCATTTTTCAGGAAAAACCCCTTTTGCGCAAGATCCTGTAAGCCTCATTTTTTGAGAAATAAGGGATCTTGCGTAAAAAGGGGTTTTTTCCCGAAAAATGGCCCCGTCTACACCGAGTTTTGTTTCGCAAAAACCTCTTCTGCCAAAAGGATCGGAGGAGAATATGCAAATGAGAACGTAGATTTGCCAATGAGTGCTTCGTTTGCATTTCCTCTTCTGCAAAAAACAAACAGTGTAGACGTAGCCTGAGTGTTCCATATGTGCTGAGGGGAGGGATCTCTCCTCCCCCTTTCCCAGCCTGGCTCTTCGGTGCATGAGTGCTGGGGAGCAGGGCTGGTTCACACTAGGAAGTGCTCCTTTGGTGGAGCCACAGACACAATCTCCTTCGTCTGGATGCAGGCAGAGCAGTGGGAAGGGCCTGAGTACCAGGCTAGTGAGGGGAATAAGCTGTCGGCAGCAGGCGCTTTCTGAAGCTAGAACCTGCACACACTGGACAGGGTGCTGGGACAGCTATTTAGGCAGAACTGAAGGAAGAAACGCCCCGATCCGCACTGGTTCTAGAATGACACAGAACGGTGTGTCGCCCAGGCCTGTGGGCTGAAGCAGCTGGCACCCCAGGTAGAAGGCGTGATCGGTGCCCCCGCCTGCACAGCCATCAATGGCCGTGACGTAATCATTGGGAGCCCCATGATGTCATCATCGGGCACCCCGGGCCGGCGGCACCCTAGGTGTCAGCCTGGTCTGCCTAGGCTCATGGGCCGCCTCTGCCTGTGAGCATTAGGAAACACCAGCCCGCAGCCCACCCCCACTCCTTCCCCTTGACTGTGCGGCTCAGAGCATTGGGGGGACTGTGGCTGTGAGGAAGGGGGCAGAAGGGCAGGGGCCAGGGATTAGCCTCCGCGGGGGGCTGGATCACTGACCACCCCTACTCACTACGCTTCCTGGGAGTAGCCCCTCCCCTGCCGTGACCCAGCCAATGGGAGCTGCGCCTGCAGGCCGGGGGTGGGACTCCATACACTCCTGCACTCCCCTTATGTCCCTATACTCCCCTGTGCCCTCCATAGCCTCTGCAGCCTTCAGCCTCCCCCTGCATCCCCCATTCCCTCCTCTCTCCTTCTCTGCCCCCTCCCATCCCCATCCTGCTCCTGTCCCTGGCTTCCTTCACTCCCCAGCCTCTCCTCCCTCCCTCCATCTTTTCCACTCCAGCCATCCTCCTCCCGGCTGGGTGATTTAGACACCTGAATGACAGCCAAGCCACCCAATGGAAGGCGAATGTGGTGTCTCAACCAGCCAATGGAAGCTGGAAGTTGCCAGCCTTTCCAGGTTGGGAGGGGAAGGGAAGAGACGGTGTAGGGCAAAGACGAGAGCAGTCCTCACCTCATGCCCCCGGCTCCTAGCCTCTCCTCAGTCCCAGGGGATCCCCCCCGTGCTCCCACCGGCTCCCTTCATGGTGCAGGTTCCCAGTGCGGGTGCAGGAGGGAGGAGCGGGGGTTAGGGAGCATTGGGGGTGAAGGGAAATGAGGGGGCACCATGCTCACACGGGAGCCAAAGTACAAGTTTGCCTAGGGTGCCATTTTCCCTAGGGCTGGTCCTGCTCTCCTGGATCTCCAGTGATGCATAGAAATGGGCCTTTCCAGTACAAGAGAGTAGATGAGGCAACCAGGAAAGAAATGCCTGTGGGCTTTGTCATGCCTCAAAAGCAGCAAAACAGGAAAAAGCTCAGTTTGTATTTTCCTTTGCAGGTCACCTTTAAGACTCTGCCCAATTTGTATTTAATAAGTGGCAATTCACTTATTAAAGGGTGGGACACAAGCTGCTCAGTTTCTCATCCATTTTTAATTTCAGATAACGAATCACTTCAATACTTCTTTGTTCCGAGCGGGAATAAAAACATCCCAGCGTAGAGTGTGTGTTGAAGGCACCAGGAGCTCTTTCTCCCCATGATCAAAGTCACTAGGCAATTTCTGACAGGCCCAGCGGAGAATTCCTCCAGCCGTTGTATCTTGGTCAATATTTAAGGCACTGAGTGATGCCACTCTCTCGGCCTGTGCATGTTTGCTTTCCTTGGGTAAATGTTTGATTTGATCAAGGGCAGAGCTAAGCTGTGAATGTTAATTCAGTGGAGATAGACAGGCTGAGCCGTGTGTGAGGGAATGTTAATGCTGCAGGAATGTGGCAATCCCAGAATCATAGAACACTAGAACTGGAAGGGACCTCGAGAGGACATTGAGTCCAGCCCTCGTGGAAGGACCAAGCACTGTAGATCATCCCTGACAGATGTCTGGCCAACCTGCTCTTCAATATCTCCAGAGATGGAGATTCCACAACCCTCCTAGGCAACTTATTCCAGTGTTTAAACATCCTGACAGGTAGGAAGTTTTTCTTAATGTCCAACCTAAACTTCCCTTGCTGCAATTTGAGCCCATTGCTCCCTGTCCTATCTTCAGAGGCCAAAGAGAACAATTTTTCTCCCTCCTCCTTGTAACACCCTTTTACATACTTGAACACAGCTATCATATCCCCTCTCAGTCTTTTCCAAACTAATCAGGCCCAATTCTTTCAGTCTTCCCTCATAGCTCATATTCTCTAGAACGTTCATCATTTTTGTTTCTCTTCTCTGGACTTTCTCCAATTTCTCCACATCTTTCTTGAAATGTGGTGCCCAGAACTGGACACAATACTCCAACTGAAGCCTAATTAGCACAGAGTAGAGTAGAAGCGTCACTTCTCATGTCTTGTTTGCAACATTCCTGTTAATGCATCCCTGAATCACGTTTGCTTTTTTTGCAACAGTGTCACACTGTTGACTTATATTTAGCTTATGGTCCACTATGACCCCTAGACTCCTTTCTGCAGTATCCTTCCTAGACAGTCGCTTCCCATTCTGTATGGCTGTGTCTACACTGGGCCACTTATTCCGGAAAATCAGCCACTTTTCCGGAATAAGCTGCGAGCTGTCTACACTGGCCCTTGAATTTCCGGAAAAGCAACAACGCTCTACTGTACAAAATCAGCCGCTATTCCGGAAAAACTATTCTGCTCCTGCTTGGGCATAAGTCCTTATTCCGGAACACTGTTCCGGAAAAGGGCCAGTGTAGACAGCCCAGTAGTCTTTTCCAGAAAAAAGCCCCGATCGCGAAAATGGCGATCGGGGCTCTTTTCCGGAAAAGCGCATCTACATTGGCCACAGACACTTTTCCGGAAAAAGGGCTTTTCCGGAAAAGCAGCCTGCCAATGTAGACGCTCCTTTTCCGGAAAAACTGAAAACGGAATAGTATTCCGTTTTAAGCAGTTCCGGAAATTCATGCCAGTGTAGACACAGCCTATGTGTGAAACTGATTGTTCCTTGCTAAGTGGAGCACTTTGCATTTGTCATTATTAAGCTTCATCTTATTTACTTCAGACCATTTCTCTAGTTTGTCCAGATCATTTTGAATTCTGACCCTATCTTCCAAAGCACTTGCAACCCCTCCCAGCCTGGTATCATCTGCAAACTTAATAAGCGCACTCTCTATGCCAATATTTACATCTTTGATGACGATATTGAAGAGAACCGGTCCCAAAACAGACCCCTGAGGAACCCCACTTGTTATGCCCTTCCAGCATGACTGTGAACCGTTAATAACTACTCTCTGAGAATGGTTATGCACCCACTTTATAGTAGCCCCATCTAGGTTGTATTTCCCTAGTTTATTGATAAGATTGTCATGCAAGACCATATCAAATGCTTTACTGAAGTCTAGGTATACCACATCTACCACTTCTCCCTTATCCATAAGACTTGTTATCTTATCAAAGAGAACTATCAGATTGGTTTGACATGATTTTTTCTTTACAAATCCATGCTGGCTGTTACCTATCACCTTATTTTCTTCCAGATGTATGCAAATCAATTCCTTAATTACTTGCTCCATTATCTTCCCTGGCAAAGAAATTAAACTGACTAGTCTGTAGTTTCCTGGGTTGTTCTATTTCCCTTTTATAGATGGGCACTATATTTGCCCTTTTCCTGTCTTCTGGAACCTTTCCTGACTTCCATGATTTTTCAAAGATGATAGCTAAAGGCTCAGATACCTCCTTTATCAGCTCCTTGAGTATTCGAGGATGTATTTCATCAAGCCCTGGTGACTTGCAGACATCTAACATCTAACTTTAAGATCTCTTCCGGAAAAGCTGCTTCCGATAGAAGCCTGCAGTCTAGCCATAGCCACTATGTTAGGCATCCTGTCACCACCAATCTTCTTGACAAAAACCAAAACAAAGAAGTCATTAAGCACCTCTGTCATGTCCAGGTTTCCTGCTATTGTTTCTCCCTCTTCACTGAGCAATGGGCCTACCCTGTGCTTGGTCTTCCTCTTGCTTCTAATATATTTCTAGAATGTCTTCTTGTTACCCTTTGTGTCTCTAGCTACACTGAGCTCATTTTGTAACTTTACCTTTCTAATCTTGCCTCTGCATACTTGCATTATTTGCCTATATTCATCCTTTGTAATTTGACCTAGTTTCCACTTTTTATAGGACTCCTTTTTGATTTTGACGTTATATAAGATCTCCTGGTTAAGCCAAGGCGGTCTCTTGCCGTACTTTCTATCTTTCCTATGCAATGGAATAGTTTGCTTTTGGGCCCTTAACAATGTCTCTTCTAAAAGCTGCCAACTTTCTTCAGTGGATATTTCTTGGGACCACTATTAAAGAGAAATAAGGGTTGGGAAAGGAGAGGAGATATTCCTAATGAAGTAGTCTCCTTACCCTTTCTCTCGTGGAGTGTGTCTACACAGCACCAGAGGTCGAAATAAGATACACAATTTGAGCTATGCAAATTGCATAACCAATTTCGACCTTATTTCAAAATAGCTTATTTCGAAATTTAGTGTGTCTACACAGCACTTATTTTGAAATAAATTTCTCCAATATCCCGAAATAGCGCTGCAGTGTAGACGTAGCCTTGCTGTTCTGGCCATCTCTTTAAATCCCCATCTCTTAGCTCTGTGTCTTCCTCATTGGGCCCCTACATAATCTTCCCACGTCTGGATCGCTTGTCTCACTCTCTTCTGCTCTCCACTTGCGCCCAGGCCCATCGAATCCTCTCCCCTTGCCGTCTTTCTATGCATTTGGGCCCTGATTCAGCAAAGAACTTGTTGTAGTTAAATTCCATGAAACCCAACAGGACTGAGGCTTGGGCTACCCTGAAGGTTGCTGTTGACATTGCGATGACTCCCGGGGTGTGAGAAAATTTGTCCAAAGCAGGCTCCCTTAATGTGAACACGTTACCTCAACTTAGAGCCCCAGAAAGCACTGGGGAGTAATTACTTTGAGTGACTCTGGGGAGTAGTTATTTCGAAATAACAGCGAAATAATAGCAATTTTGAAATTGGCATCATTCCTCTTTGAATGACGGGTTATTATTTCAAAATAATATGCCCATTATTGTGAATGCTCACCTTGTTATTTCGAAATAACAGGAATTTTTGTGAAATAACTCTGTAGTGTAGACATGCCTCAGTGATCCCTGGAAGTGAAACGCTTTCATCCTGAGAAACCTCCCTCCCTCCCGTCTCCCCGACACTGGGTGGTTTCATTCAAACCTGACACTTCACTGAACGTGTTTCCTCTGTGAGCTCCCTTTGCTGGCCTTACAGTTGCGACTCGCGCTTACTTCTGCAAAACAAGCCGACAGGAAATAACAGTCCATCTTGCGGATTATTTTATTAGCATTTCAAAAAGGAATCTTATTTCTGTACACATTGTGGCTTTGCATCACACTTGAAGCCAATGGTGAGAAGTGGAGGAAGCACAGAGATTGTCCTGGTTAAATCACAGTATTCAGTCGCAGCTTAAGTGTCTCAAATCATCATTCAGTTGAAGGTCCAAATGCTAACGGTTTCATTGTCAGACGTTCTAGGTGGTGTGATTCAACCCATCAGGAGCCAAGAGCCAAATCGTGGGAACATCAAATCCAATGGCAAACTCCCAGCGATTTCACTAGGAACAGGAATTTGTTCCATGTGCTTGATTCAGTGGGTAACTGTAAGAAATATGCAGGGACTGAGGAACTCCGAGAGGGGTTACATGCATGTTCAGTGCCCTGCAACTCTCTGGCAGTCACCGGTTTTGCTTTTTACAGTGTTAGGTGCTTAGGGAAAATATTCTTTACAGATGCATTATCTGCTTCAGAGTTTGTCAAGGGACTCAAGACTTGGCTCTGTCATGTTTGCTAGCAACATCTTTGATAATTATTACAGTTCTCTTACTTAAATAGCCATAGAATGACCCTCTGAGGCACTTAATAGCAAACACGGTGTATTCTCTTGAGGGCCAGCCTGTTCAGCACTTAGTCTTCATACTAGCAGCCGAGGGGATACAACCACATGGACGAGAGGAGGAATCAGAGGGCTTTAAAAGTTAAGGCTGCGTGTCTTGCTTCAGATTTATTCAACGCCCTTCATGAACTCCAGGAATTCTGCCAAGGAAGGGAAATCAAAGAGGCGTATTTTAATGACAAACAGAGTCAGTGTGTGGCATGCAGCACTTTATGGAGATCTCCAAAATCGCCCTTCTTCTCATCCGTTTTCTCCCCTTCGCAATTCAACATAGCTGGTTTGTTACCCCTCCTAAAAGTGCCTCTAACATGATTCAGCACAATGAAAGACAGGCAGTACAGAAAGATTTAGAGCAGAGGTGGGGAAACTCCGGCCCAGGGGCCGAATGTGGCCCCTGGCTTGCCTGGATCCAGCCCCTGAAGCTCAGGGCCCCTTCCCCCCAGCATTGGGGAGGCCGTATTGGCACTCCAGCCCCCGCTCTACCCTACCGCAGGACTGGAGCACACAAAAACTACTAGGCTACCCTCCCATCCCTAGCTCGGGGGGAGGGGAATATGGGGCGTGTCTGTCTCCTTCTCAGTCAGGGGCCATGGCAGTGAGAGTTGGGTTTTTGTTTTGTGTTTGTTGTAGTTGTTTAGGGGGATTGGTTGGTTGTTTTTCTCTGTTCACTAGTGTGCAGCCCCTGACTGATTTTTCTGTGGGTAAGTGGCCCTCAGCCCAAAAAAGTTTCCTCACCCAGGGCCTAAACACTGACCCCGATATACAGGTGGTCAGATCTCACCTCATAAACCAGCATAGCCCTACCGAAAGCAATAGCGAGATACCAATTTACGTCAGACAAGGCTCTAGTTCAAGCAATCTAATGTGCAGAACAATAGCTTTCTAATCATGCCCCGTGCATGCAGTCTGAAGCCGCACTCCCTATTACAAAGGAATATGCACAGAGCAGGTCAAGAATTTTAGAAAATTTGACCAACGTTTTGCCAAATAACCAAGCACCCTATTTTGATAGCCAGCTCCATAGAACGGCTGAAATTCTACAATCCTGACCAAGCCGTTCTCATGTGCGGGTGGGTACTAGTTTTATTTCCCGTTTCTGATGGTGATGATGGGTCCGGGTTGTGCTGGAGACTGGTGCCTGCGGAAGCGCTGATAAAAGCTCTGATCCTACAGGTTGGTCCATTCAGTAGGGCCCCTTTGAGGTCACTGGGTTTCCTTGGGGGCCCAGAGCCCAGCTGCATGGAGTCAGTTTCAGGATCAGCGCCACCGTATTCATATTTCCCTGAAGAAGGGGCCCCGTTGTGTTGCTTGTGTGCGAGAGGAGAATTTAGCCACTAACCTCCTGTCAGGCATCTAGCCCTTGACCAAAAGTTTGATAATGGAAAGGCGAGGCCACCTTTAAATGCAGAGCCGCAGCGGGGGTAGCTGCCGGGACCCGGCGTGAGCCAGGACTGAGCCAGCCTGACGGCACATCAGTTCCCAAGCTCCTTTAAATGCAAAGCCGCACTGGTTGAATTATGTAACCGACAACATTTAACCAAATTATGCACAAAACCACACCTACCGTCATAGTCGATCTTGCCGTCGTTGTTTTTGTCTCCATCCTTCATCAGCTCCTCTATGTCATCTTCAGTGATGGTCTCTCCGGTAGCCTGTAGCATGATCTTTAGTTCATCAAGGTCAATGTATCCATCAGCATTTCTGTGCAATGACAGAAAAGCTCCAAGATAAAACCAAAATGATTGTAAAAGGATGGACTCCCACACCCCATATTACATCACTTGCACTGGTCTCCCATCTATTTATTTTATCTGTTAGCAGCCCTTTAGGATTCATTCTTGGGTTCCCTGTCTGGAATTGGTAGGTTAAATATAGGAGAGGGCACCAACTCTTCCCCTTTCTGCAGGTGTAATCCTACAGGATTTGTGGGACAAAGGAAAAAGAGAATAGTAGTTATTTGCTTCTGCTAGTGAATTAAGGGACAGTCTTTCTGGACATGGAGAAGTAAAAGTCTTTGGCAAGTGATGAAACCCTGATTCAGCAAACTGCTGAAGCATGTGCTTGGGCCCATTTTGAAAGAGGAGACCAGAGGCAACTTTAACTTATGAAGTGTAATATGGGAAGACGGCTCTTAATACTATTTCTCTTTCTAAACCTCTTGTAGCACCAGATCCCCTCAAGATTCACATCTCTTACAATTTTTGTGTAGATAGGCAAAGTCCAAACTGGCTCAGCCTATAATTTATCATCTCGGCAATTAGATCCTGGAAAAATCAAGCTTAATGACAACCTTCTTTGAGCCCGTGAATAAGATTTCAATGAGTCTGAACTCTGGGGAAATTAAGAGTTATCATTTAGAGAAAAAAGGTCTGATACAGAGCTAACTTTCTAAAAAGACCCATTTAAAAAATAATTTTACTTTATAAATTGATGGATGGCTTTCCTTGAAATTGTCTCAGAAAATAAATCCTGAGCTCATAGAATAAATGCTGTCATTTTCAGGGCTTAACTCGAAATAAGCTACGCAAGCTACGTAAATTGTGTATCTTATTTCAAAATAGCTTATTTTGAAATAGGGAGCGTCTACACAGCACTTATTGTGAAATTGAGCACTCTTCCTCTGACTTCCCTTACTCCTCGTACAAAGAGGGTTACAGGAGTTGGAGTAAGAAGTCCTCCAGCTTGACAGTATTCGAAATAACTGCCTGCTGTGTAGACATGGACTGTTATTTCGGAATAGCGCTAGTTTTTTCGAAATAGTGTTGCAGTATAGACGTACCGTCTATGTTCTTCAGATATCACAAAGTGGTTGGGTGCTACTTTCAGCACAATACAGGCAGTCCCCGGGTTACGTAAAAGATAGGGACTGTAGGTTTGTTCTTAAGTTGAATCTGTATGTAAGTCGGAACTGGTATCCAGATTCAGCCGCTGCTGAAACTGATCAGTTTCAACAGCGGCTGAATCTGGACACCAGTTCTGGCTTTCATAC